CCGCCCAGTGGCCCAGCTGGTGTCCAGCGCTGACTCCCTGATATAGGAGCGTCTGTGGCAGCTAAATCTGAAACAAACAGCTGGCCCTGGGCACAAGTGGTGGCCCCTTGCTTCTGCAAGGTGTCCTGTGGGTTTTCTGCAGAGCACCACCTCTGCAGATTGGCTCCCGAGTCTCACCCAAGCTTACCCGTTTGCAAGATTTCCACAAAGCATTGCAGTGCTACATCTGAGCATTGCTTCTGGCAGCGTGAGTGTACGCCACGTGCAAATTCCATGTGAGTGTAGCCTGAGCATGTGTGTTCTGAGAACATTACTCTGTGAGTGTGCTCCCAGCACGTGCACTCAGGTGCCTGTTCTCTAAGGTGTGTCCCCTGTGAGTGTACCACACACATGGACTCCATAGGAGTAGACCTGAGCTCATGCACACTCTGTGAGTGTGCTCCACGCACGTGTACTCTGTGTGGATGGGTGTGCACTCCGGGCCGCTCCGAGCCTCACCCCAGGACCCTGCTCACGCAGACCTGGGCCCTATTCTCCTCTCAGCAGCCTGCTTGGGCCTGTGGGGTGGGCCCTGGGAGCTGAGGTCAGAAAACAGAGATGTGGTCCCAGCAGGAGAGACATTAAGCAGGTAGAAATTACCGGCTGTTTTCTCATGGTGACTGTCCCGGCCCTGGCTCACACTCCAGAGCAGGGGCTGCTGGTGATCCCGGGAGCACATGTCAGGACTTCACAACAAAACCAAGAGGTCACAGGAGTCCCAGGGCTATGGAGTCGCTAGGCCAGTAGGTGCCCAGCACCCAAGGGTGTCCGGTTCATCGGCCTCCAAATAGGTTCTGCAGACCCTCAGCACGGGGTTGCTTACACTGAGTGTTGCTGCCCCCAGACTCACACAGTCCTCCAGCTGGTCTGCCCCCAAAGCCAAGCAGGGAGGAGGTAAAGGCCAGCAACGGTCCTTCTCCCTGGCTGCCTTTCATACACTAGCCAATGGGTCTGGGGGCAGGGTGCATCCGAACCACTTTGGGAACTGTCTCAAGACTGCCCGAGGAAAGGGGCCACTCCCCAGCTCACCCCAAAGCCATCCACGGTGACACAGCTGACAGCCACCTTCAAAGCAGTGAAGGTGGGTGGGGCGCCCTTTACCCCGTAGCAGCAAAACGAGCTGCACCAAGCCTGTTACCTCCACGTCATCCTGACACGGTGGGCCCTGCAGTCCGGGAGGCACTGTCCCAGCTGGTTTCCAAGGCTGCCCATCCACCCCTCTCATCCCACCCTCACCCCAAAACAACCTGGAGACTGGCTGGGAAGTGATGACACCCCCCACCCTCCTATTCCTGCTCGGAACCACGGGGGCTTGGGCCCCATGCATGCATATAACCTGGGGTTGTTGCCAGGTGCCGGCATTCCCAAGAAGCTTCAGGGGATGCTGGCTGGGGACCCCCCCCTCCCCAGGTCAGCCCCCAGGTCTTCACTCTCTGGACTGACAGAGGCAGTTTTTTAGGGACCTTCAGTCAGGGGGCCGGCCCCAGGAGGGCCCTCTGGCCTACATGACTAGCCTGATCTCTTGCTCACTTGTGGTGCCCGGCAGGCCCAGGAAGCCCCTCATGTGAAAATCAGCCCTCTCCAGGCCCACGGGCTGGACTAGAGACTCCGCATGTGAATGGCACAGGAAGTCACTTCTGGGGACAGCAGGCTTCTCGGCATGTCATTTGTCCTTCTCATCAAGTGCCTGGAAGAAGCCAGACTGAGAGGCCAGGCCCCAGCCCAGCGCCACAGCTCCTGGCTCTTCCCAGGGCCGGGCCGACCACCTCAGTGCCAGGTCACCCCAAGCACGCATGCAGACGCTAAGGCGGCCACCGGCCCTTGGCCGGCCCTCACTTAGCAGCCACGCCCTCTCTGGGCCCACAGTGGCTGCAGCTGCGGCCTAGGTGTGCTGTAGCACCCACCCTTGTTCAGCAGCTCTGGGCTGCATGGAAGATCAGGAGAGGGGCTCCTGGGGACCAGGCAGCCTGGAGCAGATGTGTGTGATGGAAGAAGTGTAGTGCGCCTAGGCCTCCTGCTCCACCCCCCCCCCCTTTCCAGCCGCTGGGAAACGGGGCTGCTGTCATCAGTACCGTTGCCGTCTCCATCCTTGTTGGGTGCCCCAGCCAGTTCCTTCCCACCCACTCTTGACTGGTGACAAGAGTAAAATCTGCCCCATAGGGTTTCCCCAGCTGTACCTCTTTATGGAGAGACCCCGTGGCTTCGGGGTGACATTAAGACTGGCACCCACAGGGCAGCAGCTCTAAGCCACCCGTTGCTTCACAGGAGGAAGATGGGCTTTCTGTTCCCATAGAGAATCACGGTGTGGACGCCCACCGGGGGGGCGGCTCTGCTCTGTCCGTAGGGTGGCCGTGAGTCAGAATCCACTCAGCGGCAGTGAGCGTGAGCTTGAATCTCCAAGTAGCAGATCGCTGACCTTCTCGAGGAGCTGGTCCCCGACAGCATGTCCACCGGACTTGAGATCAAGCCTCGGCATCCTCACTCGCTCCTAAGGAGCGTCCTGGCCGGCCGGCCCTGGCACTGTCAGTTATCACAGCCATCAGTTCTTCTTCATCTTTCCTCGACCAGCTTTGGGGTACACGTGAGGCGACTGGAGACACTGTGGCTTGGGCTAGCTGCTCCTTCGCCTTTGAAGCGGCGTCTTTGCCTTTTATTGCCTTAAGGAGAGGTCTGTTACATCCGATTTGCCCCGTGCAGCACGTAGTTTGATTCTGCGGCTGCGGCTTCGATGGGCATTGGTGGTAGAGCAAGTAAAATGACATCCTGGACAACGTCGTCTTTCCACCAAGCACCAGGATGTCACCTGTCAGTCTAGTGGGGACACTGTGTTCCGTAGGTTACAGCGTAATTCATAACGCCTCTCTGATCGGTGTCGGCACGTTCTTCAAATCCTCGCTTTTCGGCTCATACGGTTGTCTTGCCTGCATGTCAGAGGTGGTTAGTGAGGGTTACCCCATCCTGATGCTACTCCTCCCTAGAACTCAGCTCACGTGGCCCCCAGTGGGGACCCGAAACAGTAGGATGTGGGTTTACGGGGCGCAGCACAGCGCCCTCTGGTGTTGGCAGCCAGCGGGGGCCCTGCTGTGGGTCATCCCTGCCACCTCGTCAGTTCTGACTCATGGGGACCTACAGGCAGTGCTGGACCGTCCTCTTCACAGGAGCAGTCCTGTGTCTCATCTCCTTCAGGGTGCCAGGGGTGTTCAGTCCTTAACCCCTGCCATTCCAGGGCTGCTTTGTGACTGGATGCTTGGTCCTTCACCAGGACCACCCTCGGGCCCCTGCTGGCTCCCACATGTCCCAGGCGTGCACCGGAGCTGGGGAGGGTCCCTATTGTGTCGCTCCACCGGTGGGGCCCTCCAGACCATGCTTCCCCTTGCCTCAGCGCCACCATGCTGGCGGGGGAGGGGGACCGTGCAGCCTGAATTCAAGTCCCAGCTCCTCCTCTTCCTAGCTGTGCGACCGCGAAAGAGTGGCTTGCGCTCTTTCCGTCTCGGTTTGCCTGTCCATGAAATGGGAGGGCATAGTGCCTGCTTTCGTTCAGGTAAGTGTTGGGTTGCTAACTACAAGGTCAGAGTTCAAACCCACCAGCCGCTCTGCAGGATCAAGCTGAGGCTAACAGACTTGGACACCCTGTTGAGGGTGGCTGTGAGCCAGCAGGGGCAGCTTGTCTCAGGACAAGCTCCCAGGCTGCCCTCAGCACAGTTCTGCCAGGCTGGGTGCTGCCAGGCCTTGTGAGGCAGGCAGGAGGGAAAGGTGCCCAGCAGGTAGGACCCATGAGAGAGGTGCCAAGGTGTGAAAGACATCACGGCCCCTGCATACACGCCGTCCCTTACTTTGCGCATCTAAAGGCCAGGAAAGAAGCCTGGGATGTAGGCAGGCCAAGCACTAGCTGAGAGGGTGGCTGTTGGAGCCCATCAGCTGCTCCATGGGGGAAAGACGAGGCCGTCTGCCCCTTTAAGACCTACCACACGGCGGTTCTGCCCACAGGCTCGCTGGAAGGTGTTGGGTTTGGGTTAGGAACGGGAGCACCGCCCCGCCCTCTGCAGTCATTCTGTCAGGAGAGATGGGGGTACCGCCCTGGAGACCCAGACCCTGCAGGTCATCCCTGCCAGGGCTCCACAGAGGAGCCTCAGTTTCCCCTGGGTCAGGGACTCCCACCCAGGATGCCCTGGGGCAGGACATGGTTCTGCCTCGTGGCACCGTGCTGCCCCCGCTCCCCAGATGCCTCCCTGGGGTGGGTCTTGGCGTCTCTCTGCTCAGGGGCCCAGGCAGCCTCTGGTTGGGTGTCCGAAGTACCACAACTTCTAGTTTCTATGGCAACTTGAAACCCTGCAATTGTGGCTTTGGGAAATCTAAAACAGGAGCAGGGGCCACATGGAACATCCCCTGCCAGACTAAGGTCACAGTTTAGGAAGGTCTTTGGGGTTGGGAGGTGGCGCCCCTGTGCCAGTGTGCCCGAGCAGAGCATGCCCGTGCCACCGCACGGCCCCTTCCACACCCTTGAGCCGGGGCGCAGGAGCCCCAGCTGCATTGGTGCGCCTGGCCCTGTGCCTGCACTGTCGCACGGGGGGCCTCCCCACCACCGGGCGGCACTGCCTTGTGTCGCTGAGGTCCCTGGCGGCGGGGGTGTCCTGGTGTCCAGAACCCATGTCCGTGGGCCTGTTCTCGCTGACGTCCTGGTCTGAGTCTCAGTTCCCGGCCCGGGCAGCCTCCTCTCAGAAGGAGTGCTGTGGCTCCCGAGGACACTGCAGCACTGAGCTAGGCCTCGGCCCTGCGCCCGGCTGCGCTGGTGGCCGGCTCAAGGGAGGGCAGAGACTGAGCCGGGCTCACGGAGGCCGCTGGGACCCGTCGCCCGCCACTCGGTCAGTGTGGTCAGAGGTGCCCTCACGAACATCCTGCATTGGGGTACTGGACTGGCAGTGCCTGTGGGATGGCCTCTCACGTGGAGCTCCCTCTTACAGCTGAAGCTGGAAGACCGCTCTGTGGTGCCTCGAGATGTGGTCCGGCACATGCGCCCCACTGTGAGTTCTGGGCGGGGGTGGGGGCTGGGCATGGCAGGGGCCGGCCGTTGCCCACAGTGCTGAGGGCGGCTCCTCCTCACGCAGGACAGTCAGTGCGGCACAGTCATAGACGTGAACATCGACTGCGCCGTCAAGCTGATCGGCACCAACTGCATCGTCTACCCCGTCAACAGCAAGGACCTGCAGCACATCTGGGTGAGCCCCGTCCTCTCGTGACGCTCCTGCAGGGAAGTCAGAGACGCCGACAACGCCTTGTGTCCTCCCGCACCGCCCCCCCCCCAATCTGTCCTCCCTCCTCCCCTGGGACACTTGAGAGTAACTCCCAGTATGTTGCCCCGAATACTCCTGCCCAGTCCACAGAGCCAGCCCTGCCCAACACAGGACCCCAATCAGGGCCAGCCTCTCAGCTCTTCCTACTCTGCAGGAGGACATGCTCTGCTCCCCGGGGCGCCAGGCCCTGCACTGACCGCTTCCCAACAGATGACATTTTCTGAGGGTAGCAGCCCTGATGGTGGCACAGCATTTACGTACCCGCTGACCAAAGGCGGTGGTGGCGGTTCTGCTCTGTCCTGCCGGGCGACTCGGCAGTTTGGCAGCAGCATCGGTGCTTTCTGGTGGCTGAGGTGCCCTGACCCACCTGCACTTCCTTCGCCCCGGCCCTGGGGGCTGCTGTGCAGCTTCTCGCATGCGAGTATACACACACACAGGCACACAGAGGTGCACCAGGACCTCTGCACATGCAGGCAGGACCCGAGATGGCGGCTCGGTTCCAGCGCACCGCACCGCAGTGACGCGAGCCGCCCGAGCCTGCAGAAGGGACATGGGCCGTAGACTGCTCAGTGTACACTTACATGATGGTAAAGGAGTGTGCTCTCTGCGCAGGGCTGCCACAACCTCTGTGGGCAGAGAGGGTGCTGGCCGCAGAGCACAGGACAGCAGGGCAGTGGAGCGGCAGGCCTGCAGACAGTATTTTTCGGGGATGGGGGGTGCTTCACAGTGCTCATGAAGGAAGGACTGAGAAGACCATGGACTTCCCACCACCTTTCTGTCTGCCTCTCCTGCAGCCTCCATCTGCAGCACCCACCCCCACTCCCACACCCTCTACAGACATCTCTCTCATGACCCCCACGCCTGGGAGCACCTCACTTCTGGTGCACATATCCAGTATCCCGACCCCCAACAGAATCCCCAGGGAGGAGGGGGTGGATTCTGCTGAGGGCTTGTGGATGGGAGTGTCTCAGCAGACATGCGTCCGGGGAGCCCAGGTGCCCCTGCCCAGGACAGCAGTTTACTGCTCACCATCTCACGGCCCTGTCCCCTTGGCCCACAGCCCTTCATGTACGGGGACTACATCGCCTACGACTGCTGGCTGGGGAAGGTCTACGACCTGAAGAACCAGGTCATCCTGAAGCTGTCTAATGGCGCCAGGTAGCCCCTCACTCACCACAGGAGCAGGGTGGCAAGGAGGCAGGGGGGCGGGGTCAACAGGAGCCACAAGCCGGACCCTGAGCTGCCCCGTCAGCTGCTTGGGGCATTGTCACCGAGGGTACCTACAGGGCTGGGATTTTCTTTTAAAGACTGATGGTGACAGGCCTGGCCTGGCCACTCGAGGTGAGGGTCTGCTGAGAGATTAGCAACAGCTGGGAGGCAGGGCTGCTGGGAGATGCCTCGGCCCCTCAGGCTCCCTGGATACAGTGTGTGATCACACTCCATCCTCGGTTCCAGGTGCTCCATGAACACGGAAGACGGCGCCAAGCTCTACGATGTCTGCCCCCATGTCAGCGACTCGGTGAGCAGGCTCAGCCCAGCACCGTCACCTCCACACCTGCTGGGGGTCTGGGTGCAGGACCGTGTCTGGGCTGTGTGCCGCACACCAGAGCGCGGGACTCCCAGCCCCTGGGCAGCTTGAGGAGGGCCTTAGGGAGTGGGTGGCAGCGCTGGGTGGGGATGTGTGCGTGCGTGCGTGCGTGCGTGTCGGGGCTGGGAGCAGAGGACCTGGGAGGAGCACCCATCCAGTGAAGAGGCACGGCTCACAAGAACCTTCCCCGACCCCAAATCTTGCAGGGCCTCTTCTTCGATGATTCCTACGGCTTCTACCCGGGCCAGGTGCTCATTGGCCCCGCCAAGATCTTCTCCAGTGCCCAATGGCTCTCGGGGGTCAAGCCCGTGCTCAGCACCAAGAGCAAGTTCCGGGTGGTGGTGGAAGAGGTAGGGGCCAGGGGCTGGAGGAGGCGGTGGGGCTTGGGGGCGCCCTCAGTAGCTGCCATGACCCTCTTAGTCCGAGGGCTGAGGGGGCACATTGGGCTGGAGACTGGCAGTAGCCCTGGGGACAAGCAGGAGAGAGTGGTCAGCCAGGGAAGGGCGTGCCCAGGTGTGTCCACACTTGGTGGGCAACCAAGTGGTCTAGTTGCAGGCAGTGCTTGGTCGCTGCCCTGACTGGCCAGGTTGCCCTCTTCCCACCCCCATCCACCTCCCCACCCCGTCCCCAGGTGCAGGTTGTGGAGCTCAAAGTCACATGGATCACCAAGAGTTTCTGCCCCGGGGGCACGGACAGTGTCAGCCCCCCGCCCTCTGTCATCACCCAGGAGAATCTAGACAGGTGAGCTCCATCCACCCCACCTCCCACCCAGGTGCTTGCCTTGGGCAGGTGGGGCTTGTGTCAGTGCGAGGAAGCCCAGCTTTGCCATGCCCGTCTCCCGTAGGGTGAAGCGTCTCGGATGCTTTGACCACGCTCAGCGGCAGCTGGGGGAGCGCTGTCTGTATGTCTTCCCAGCCAAGGTAGAGCCGGCCAAGATGACCTGTGAATGTCCAGAGAAAAACTGCGCCCAGGGGGAGGGCTCTATGGCCAAGAAGGTATGTCCTGGGCCCGCGTGGCTGACACCCGGCAGCAAGGATGGTCACCGCCTCCTAGTGGGCAGCTCTGATGACCCCTGCCAGCCACCCAGTGGGGACTTGCTGCCAACTCCCCCCACCCACGGGACACTCCGGGTCAGAACTCACAGCCCCCACCCCACCCCACCCCCACAGCCACACTCTGCTCTGCCCTCGCAGGTGAAGCGCTTGCTGAAGAAGCAGGTCGTTCGGGTCATGTCCTGCGCCCCGGACAGCCAGTGTCCCCGCGACCACAGCTCCGAGGACCCGGGCAAGAAGGGGGCCTCCAAGGCCCAGAGCGAGCCGGGCTCCGCGAGCCCTGAGGAGACGCCCGACGGCTCAGCCAGCCCGGTGGAGGCACCAGACGAGGGCCCCGAGGAGCCCCCCGAGGCTGGCGAGCAGCTACCCCCCTTCCTGATGCGGGAGGCCGGAGATGACCAGCTGCACTCGGCGGAGCAGGACGCGGACGACGAGGCCGCCGAGGACACGGACGACACGAGCTCGGTGACCTCGTCGGCCAGCTCCACCGCGTCCTCGCAGAGCGGCAGCGGCACGGGCCGCAGGAGGAGCGTGCCCCTGTCCATCAAGAACCTGAAGCGGAAGCACAAGCGGAAGAAGAGCAAGGCCACGCGAGACTTCAAGCCGGGGGACAGGTGGGGCGCGGCGGGCCGCCCTGTGGCGGTCCCCAGGCCCGCAGCGCGTGGGGAGTGGGGTCAGTGGGGATGAGGTGGGGCAGAAAGGTGGTCTGCTTTCCCCTTGGGGGGAGGGAGGGCCCTGACCGCTGGTCCCTGGCCTGCCTGCAGGGTGGCCGTGGAGGTGGTGACCACCATGACCTCAGCCGACGTGATGTGGCAGGACGGCTCGGTGGAGTGTGGCATCCGCTCCAACGACCTGCTCCCCGTGCACCACCTGGACAACAACGAGTTCTGCCCTGGGGACTTCGTGGTGGACAAGCGAGGTATGGCCACCCACCCCAGGCTGTCCTCCTTGGGACACTGGGGCTTGGCCTTTGCATGGGGCAGGTGGACGGCCCCCTCCCCCTCCTCCACAGTCTCCTCAGTGAGCCTCCTGCCCTCTGCCCCCAGTCCAGAGCTGCCCGGACCCGGCAGTGTATGGCGTGGTGCAGTCTGGGGACCACGTGGGCCGAACATGCATGGTGAAGTGGTTCAAGCTGCGGCCAAGCGGGGACGACGTAGA